TACAACACCTACAAAATCGCTACCTATAGTTTCGATCGAAGAACCAATTAAAACTGTTATAGAATCATCTCCTACAACACCTACAAAATCAACATTTAGAGTTTCGATGTAAGAAGCATCATCTAGATTGCCGTCAAACTTATTAATTAGACTCCTTATGAAAACATCACCCAGAACTTCTACAACATCTCATGGAGTCATCAATTTGAGTTTTCATGGAAACATCAGATAGAACTTCAACAAGTGTATCACTATCACAATTAATTAAAATTACATCACCTATGATGGCAGAAACATCCACTTCTCTTGCAACACATCACATACCATGAAAATTAACAAAGAAATCGTTTACTAAGGGATCAACGATCTCACTAATAACACATACTCCTGATGACATATCCGTGCCCACGAGTATACCAATAAACACGACCACGATCACCGCAGTGAAAACCAACGATTCCACCACAGTCAATGAAATTAAATCAGCAGTACCAAGAACGTTGTTAACTTTAGCAGTAATGACTGAAACGCATATTGCAGAGGATGTTACAGCAGTACCTGTAATGAACTCAGTAGTATTTAAGCAGTCAAGTTCATATATAAATGTACAGACACCTAATCAAATAACTACGACACACAGTGTAAAGAGTACGACAGCGACATCAGTAATGTCATTGGTATCGAACTTCACCAGTGCATACACACATACATGTGTATATCAAAACCTTTCACTGATATAGAAAATGGGCCAATGTCAAAATCTTCAAAAAATTTACCAACAATGAAAGTATTGATGCATCTAGATTTGTTACACCTACACAAATAACCACTGAAAACTACATAGTAGATGAATTACCAAATTTGTCGAGAACCACACAGTTAATGGCCATCCCTTTGAACAAATCTACCTCAACAGTGAATACAACGTCAGCATCGAGAAAACATAGCCAAACACATGTAATGACGGGTTCAAACAAACTAGATATAACTGGATATAATAAAGACACCACAACGTTGATTCAAAGAGAAGATACCCATTCCATATCCACTGATGGAAATACAATACGCAGTCTGTTGGTCAGCTCGAGATCAGTTCCAAAAGTTCTAGCACGAACACCAAATAATATACAATCAACATTCACATATAGTACAATAAGTCAAACTAACTTTTTAAGTCAAACTAAAATTTAATTCCTGAGAAAACCACAACAAATCATGTCAAAGGAAGTGCCAGTACAGCATCATTTATAACGACTGATACACGTGTACCATATACAACTGGTCAACCTATGTTTACACCCTCACCCAAATTAAGTATTCATAGAGACATGTCATCAACTGGAGTATATGAGATCAGTGCAACCAAAACATTGTGTGATGCTGTACATCAAAAAGGTACGATTTCGTTTATATGCATTACTCATAGCACCAAATTTGTGCTTTCTATTTCATTTTGTAGGACATTAACATTCCTTAATATACAGGTGTACAGTCCGGGACAGTTTTAAGTCTTCTTATTATCTTTGATGTGTTAATGGTAGCCAGTGCTGTTCTCGTATCGTGCCTTGCAGTAAAAAAAAAATGCAACGTCATCGGACCATGTAGTAAGGTAGATTCGAATGTATGTTAAGTGTAGAAGACTGGAGATCCAGCTCTTATTTATGTATTAATATATGATTGTTGATTTTTGGTACAGAGTAAAGCTGTCATCTTTTTTGATGCCGTTTCCATGGCATTTGTGTTTACGAAGTATGAACACATTTCAATGTCATGATTATGTTTTGTTACTCCGATATGGATTATGGGTATTATTTTATTTCTATTTCGTTATGTGATGATATGAATTGCATGGCTATTGTTTGTTTTTCAGGTATTGAATGATTCTATTTCATGCCTACTGTTTATTTTCAGGAATGGAGGGATGGCTGTTGCACTGACGTGGCGTCTTGATTAATCGGATTTATCAAATGGAAAACTAACACAGAATTCAATAAATAATAAATTATCAATTAAAAAACCATAGACTTGTTTGAGTTTGTAAGAAGATTGTGTTTAATTGTAAAAAAAAAAAACTTATCATA